TGACTGGCTGTATTTTTTATTGTTTTATTTTATATAAAAAACATGCAATTACTTAAATTTCATAAAAAACACAATAATTCCCACAAATGTACCAATATGGTCTGATGAACAGAAAAATATACAAGACTTGTTTTTAAATGGCAACAAACAAACAAAAGAAACTAAACTCATTAAACACTTGATGATTGACAATGAAATATCGAAGAGGCCAACACTTGGGTGCAACTTAACATTGATCAGCACAGATACAAAACAAAGAAAGTGAGAAAACCAAAAAAACAGTCTACAAAAACAGTAATAGAAACAAAAGAACAAAAACAAAAAAATCCAATATCACAACCAACAAAAAGAATTTGTATGTTACGATTCTTCTTACGATTTGAGTTCACAATTATTATTTGATACTATTGGTGAGAATCATGAAATAAAAATAGAACTTGATGAAAACACTATTGTAACAACCGAAATGAGTCAATTTTTAACGAGTGAATTTCAGTCAATAAAACCAACAAAAACCAATTTGGTGAACATTTTCGATAAAAATGAAGTTGTGTTGGTTAATGAAAAAACCCACAATTTGGAGTAAAAATGCGTAATCAAAAAGGAATTGTTGAATTTGAAGAAAGAGAGAATCTTGTTTATAAATTTTGTGACGACAATATTCGCTGATCCAATACTCGACAGCTTCTAACCAGTTTCAACAATCGACGGTTGAAAAACTTGAAGTGTTTCATATACTTAACCGATATAATTTTTTTGTATAAAGAAGTTATATTGATTAAGTTTGAATTTTCTATTTAGAGTACCGTGAAAAATCACTGCAGAGTGAAATATTGCTGCGAATTGTTATTGGGCAAAAAATAATGTTATTGTTGCTTATAAAACATAAAAAATAATTTTCTTTGTAAAAATGTTATATAATATGGCTTTCAATTAAAACAAGGGTAAATTCGTAAAAAAGAACATTCCAAACAACTCAAACTAGATATTGGTTTTTATTTTATAGTTTTTAACAATTTATAACTTATAGTACAAAACAATACATCAAAACATAATAACAAAAACGAATAAATTAAAACATCGAAAAATTTGAATGAATAGTCCACCTTTTGGACACCATTATATGAAATTTGATTTCTGCTCAGCTAGTCATTAATTTTTTGTGCGAATATTGAATTTATTACTCCCATTAATAACTCAATTATTATATATCATATGTTTTAC